AACTTGCCTCATTTCCATCTGGAGAAAGCAGATTTTTAGAGAGAAAAAGGCCTCTAGACATATTTGAGTATTTGGAAGACTGAGAAAAGCATGCAAAACATTATGGAATAAGGAATAAGGAATAAAAAGTTGGAGCAGAGAGAAAAATAATAATGATAATAATAGCCAATCTTTACCAATCGCTTACCATGCCCAGGTAGTGTGCTAAGTGCTTTCCAGTGCTTTTTCTAACTTAACCCCTCTGACTAGCCAGTGAGACAGGTAACCCTTACAGTTCCAATTTCACACATGAAGAAACAGACTATCATAGAGGATAAGCAACTGTCCTAACATCACATGTCCATTAAGTGAAAGGCCAGAACTATAAGCACCTAACTCCCCTGCTGTTGCATCTCTTGATGCTCATAGCAGGATCTGTGTTGATGGTCAGGGCTGCTCAGCTCAAAGTTAGCTGAGACCTGAACACAGACATCCCTGGAGATAGACGAGATCGGGAGAGGCCCCGGCAGAAGGAGAGAAGGCAGAATTGTAGGTGATTGTAGCCAGAAGACACCTAGAAGTCTATCCAGTTTGGACAAAAATTCAAGATCCCAACAAGCAGAAAGGAGCACAGTGTGAAAGATGGCAAAAGACCAAAGACAAAGACTCTATTGGCATTAGGAAGGGGGCAACAAATGAAGTCACCCAGCCTTGAATGTTAAGATTCAGGGCTAGGACCTTATTCCTTGAAGGATTTTAATGGGCAGGGCACAACCTCAGGCCTGGAGAAAGTGAAGGGGTACTACTAATACTTATGATATCTTACAACTGAACAGGGCTTTGTCAGTTACACCATGCTTTTCCACACGCCTCTAATGATTGATCGTCCCCCAACCACCCTATGGGCTTGGCATTATAACCTCCACTTTCGAGCGAAGAAAGTGAACATGGCCATTTTCCACTCAAAGCCAGTGGCCGAGCTGGAACTTGAAACCAGGAGTTTTGACTCCGAGAGCAGTGCTCTTGTTGACCATAGAGAGGCTGAGCCCACCATCGTGCTGGAAACCTATTTACGAAAGTCGGCGTCGAGACGAGTGCTTGGTCACTAGGCAACCAGCAAGATGTCAGCTGCCAGGAGAGAAAGATACAAGGCTGAAACTCAAATGGGCACGGTGTTATTCCTCAGTCGGCAAGTCTAACGCCCACTCAGTTTAAAGAAAAGAGGACCCTTTTTTCCACCCCAGGAAGCACCAGAGAACATTCATTTACTAAATATTGCAGTGAGGGCTTATCATGTGCCAGGCACTGGGAAGTCAACAATGAACTCAATAATAGCACCTACCATCATGAAGCTCAGTTTATTGGGGGTCAAATAAGAAAACAGGTACTTAGTTATAGTGGTTAGCAATTCCGTAGAGGCAGAACTTTCCCTAAGCAAACATAAAGTCTGCACTATATTCAAGATTTTCCGTGACCTTATGTAATCTTACCCTATACATTTAAATCAATCATGACAATTTTCTAACATTACTGACATTGCTCGAGAAGTTTACAAGAGGGGCATCTGATTCAGATATAAGGGATCAGGAAGAAATGATAGCTAGGACAGGTCAGATTTGACACTTAAAAACAAGAGCACTTTCTTGGCCTCTGAGAGTTTCTGCCCAGCATCCTGCAGGTTTTCAGCGGCCTCCTGTCATCAGAGAGGGTCATCCTCTCTCCCTGTCCCCATCTCTCTGTCGCTCATACCCAGCTCTTCTTCCAGATTCCTCCAATGCAACAGCTCATCAGAACCCTTTGCTACAGCAGGTATCCCAAGGCACTTCCTCAGCATTGAGCATATGTGCCCTGTCTCGTCTTTCATCTGTTTCTTTGTCCCCTCAGTTGGTTGGTAAGATCCCAGATGATAGACACTGAGGCTCATAGCTTTCTGTAGGTGCTTGATGTTCGGGGGATCATAGAGCACTGTCACCAACTAACGTGTAAGATGGCCCTCTGGGCTAGGTTAACGTTACAAGTTTCGTCTGTCCAGATTTAGAACTACAGAGGAACGATAAGAGGATTATTTCTTAAGTAAGCATTTGGCTTCTAAAGGCAATTCTGAGTGCCTGTCCCTGACAAATGAAATTTTCCCCTGAAGCTATTTCTTTCTATGAGAAATAGTACCCAGAGAAGAACAAATGGATTTAAATTTAGTTATTTTCCACCATCTTGATTTTCCAGGTTATTTTTTTAATGGTGGTGATGAAGGTAATTAACAATTTAATCCATTAGTTGTTGTTGCTGTTATTGATGATACTTTTTTTTGAACGCCCACCGAGTTTGTTCCACACTTACTTACAAGTTACTGTAAAATCGCTAAAATCCAGCAGGTATTTTTCTGTTTCTGGTTTTACCAAATTGTAGTTCACTAAACCTCACTCAACTTAATCAACTAAGTAGAGAATTCCCCAGTGAGATGTTAGGGCAGGATAAGTATGTTGTAAATAAAACAATTAAAGGGCTAGTTTACACCTCATCAACTTGCTTAACCACCTGATAACAGTTAACTGCAGATTTTCCTCATAAAATGCATGGAGCAAGGAGGTAAGTTAGAGTCTAGGTTTTCAGAAAGGGGACACGCCTCCCCTTTCTTTACCTGAGATCTGGTATTCTCTGCCAAGGCTTTGCACAGTCTCACCTTGTGGGCCAGGACGATATCTGCATAATGCCTCTCGTGGGGAGCGTAAATTCTGATCCAGAAATCCCATTAGGCAAGGCAAGTTTCCCTTCATACCTATAACCTTTGAGACACCAGCATCACATAAGATCTGAGATTCTTTTTACCCCAACTTTCCTCCAGTGTGCTTTCACTCGTATCATTGCCCTCTCTTCTGTGAGAAGAAAAGCACATATTGCTTTACAGATGGAGAAACCAAGGCACAGATAAGTGAAGAAGTCCAGCCAGGGTCACAGGCAGAGGTCAGGCTGAAATGCAGCACTGTGACCTCGGGTCAGTTTGGACTGGAGCCTGTGTGGTTTCCTGGAAGGGTCCTGAAATTGTAACCCTGGGTGACTCACTGGGGGGCACCTATTCATTTTACAGCGTTGAAGATAAGGTCTAGGAAAGTAAAATGACTTGTCTGAAACCCCCTGGGATATGACCCAGTCTTTGCAGTTCCGACCCGGGGCCCCTTCTCCACGCTGCAGCTGTCTCTTGCACAGAGGTCTTTTTTTTTTTAAGATTCTATTTATTCATTTGAGACAGAGAGATACAGAGAGAGAGCATGAGCAGGGGAGAGGCAGAGGGAGAGAGAGAGCATGAGCAGGGGAGAGGCAGAGGGAGAGGGAGAGGGAGAAGCAGGCTCCCCGCCGAGCCAGGAGCCAGACGTGGAGCTCCATCCCAGGACCCTGGGATCATGACCTGAGTCGTAGGCAGATGCTTAACCATCTGAGCCACCCAGGTGGCCCTCTTGCACAGAGGTCTTGATGGAGAACTTATTGTTAAAGATTTACAGGTGGACCAGGTATGGTAATAGACAAGTCAGTGTACTTCCCAGGACACTTTTGCTCTTCAAAGTGGGGAATTTGGATAACATACACATGTCAACTGGAGGCTGTGACCCAAATCCGGTGATGCAGAAATGGGGGTGGGGTCACAGCCCTAAGAGCTACATGGGCAGGTGGGAGCCTTCAAGGAGAGAAGCAGGCAGGAGGAGAAACTGAGGGGGACTAAGCCCTACCCCCAGGGGCGGCTCCAGCTGAGTATCATCTTAAAGGAAGGCAAGGCCTGAGTTTAAAGAAAAACAGGAAAGCTGAATATTTATGTGAAAGCCCTCAATGTTCCAATGTCAGCAACTAGCTGAGTTTTTTAAAAATATGTGAGCCTCTCTCTCTCTCCACATATATATATGCTATACAAGAATATTGAACATATATAGTGACTATATATGAATTTATGTGGTGCGTGTATATATATTCATATTTATATATTCATATATATATTCATTGTAATGACTTTTAAGTTGCAATGTCTGATGGAGGGTTTCCATCAGTTGCATATAATATGGAGTGGGACACAGAGGGTCCCTTCGCAGTCCGTCATAAATTTTAGATTTGCTTACGAATTTACTTGCTCATTCTAGGTCTGGACAGTTACCTTAAACTCCCTATAGAAGATGCAGTTTTCTTTCTTGTAAAAACGACTGAGTGTAACTTCAAACTCAACAAGTATTGAGGATCTCAGTGTAATTGGTCTGTTTGTTCTTACTTAGTTTCTGCAAGGGGAGCAAAGGAGGTCCTGCTATCCCCAATTCACGTATGAGGTCATTGAGGTTCAGGAGAAGGCAAGGCACCTGGATGGTATTTCTGTGAGGTGCCTTGCCCAGTCCAAGCCCAATCTCTGTCTCGGTCTCAGCGTCTCCGCTCTCCCCGCGACCCTGAAGTGCATCCTGAGAGCGCCTCCCACCCTCACAGGCGAGTGAGATCTAGTTCCAAAAAGGCTGGCAGCCTGAAGCCTTAAAAAGTCCAAACAGCAAAGATTGAGCCTGGAATCCCATCTCTCCCCAAGTTCAAAAACAAGCTGGCGTGGGGCAAATGGTAAACAACATTTTATTTGGTAATGGCTCTTTAGTTTTAAATCACTTCGGCATTTACTTTTAATGAATTTCTTTCAATTAGATGACTCAAACATGCAAGTATTTGCTTTTCTATGATAAGCTTTTATTTAAATTATTAAAGCTTCAGCTTCGTGACTGGTTGTAAGAAATGGGGTTGCCGCCGTGCTGATAATAGAATGCGTGTGCGAAAACAGGGGGAAATCACTTCATTTGGTACATATGCTGGCACCGAATACCGCTGAGAGCGAGGCAGCGCTCAGAGAAATGGGAGCCAGGGTAAATTTACAGTTTTCTTCAAATTGCTCAAGGAATAAATCAATAAATCAGGGAGTTAGAGAACAAGTGTAGGATGAAATAACATCTGAAGGAGCTCACTCACAATAAAAGCTTATCTTGCTCTGTCTTTTTTAAAAGCACTCATCGATGGCTCTGGACCCACATACTAGTTCACTAAAAGGAGTGGAGGCGGGGGCGGGGGAGGGGGCTTGTGGAAGGGCTCGGGACAATAACTGTACAAGAACACTGGAGACAAAAGAAGAAGAAGATGATGATGATGATGATGATGAAGACAGAGTCATGATGAGAGCAATTTCATAGCCCCAATCAGTGTGAGCTATGATAAGCCTTGATTGGCTAGCTGCCCAATTTTACCAGCATCAGAGGCAAGCATGGAACCCGCAGAAGCTGGGCTGACAGCCGGGCTATGCTCCCGCAAAAAGAGAAATAACAAGAATGCTCGGATTTCAATAAAAGGAGATTTGAAAGTAAAAAGCTTGTAATGACATTAATAACCAGTCTTTACCAGCCATGTAATGATCAGTCCGAGGATGAAGAGACCAAGGCCAGCTGGGCGAGCTTAGCGCTAGTCATTGGCACCTGAGACTCTCTTAATAACTTTTATTATTTGTTGAAAATCATTTCGACAATACAGTTCAGCAGCCTTTGTGCTAGAAGTCCATTTCATCTGCAAAAATGAAAGCTGAATAGAATGTGATATTATAGAGAACCTATCATGCAGGTGCCATCTCCAAAGCTCTCTGCCAAATAATGAGCTGGATTCCAGACGGGCAGACTGAATGGGGGCCAAGGGCTGAGCCGCCTGCATGCCCAGCAGGCCCAGCCTTGGGCTCTGGCACCTGCTCAGCACAGAACAGGAGATGAAGGCCCAGAATTACCCTCCACACTTTGGTGAAAATTGTCATGAGGTGCTTCAACTCCACATCAGAATTGCCACGTAGAGGCCAAAAGCGCTTCCATTGATTACCTGGTGGAAGTTGGAGAACGGGCCCATAGCCTTGGTGCTGGGCATCAGGGAGATGGTGAGACTATAAATTTCCAAAATATACCCAAATACAACTGTGGCTGAATCCATTACCAAAATCCAGCCTCCCCCTGAGTGGAGCTCTGGGACCAGGCCGTACCTCCTTCGGTGTGCCCTCTCCAATGGAGGGTGGGACCAAGAAGCTCAGGTCACTACTGAGAGCAGGATGAGGGAAGCCTTTTTCACAGGAAGCCTGTATGGAGATGAAATCAAGGCAGTATGTGGAGGGGCTGAGCTCCAACTCTTCCTACCCAAAAGCAAACCCAGCTCTCCTCATCTTTATATTGGTCCCTGGTCCATTTGTTGCTTCAACTACCTTATAAATTAAACACTAATACTAACATGCTCATTTCTTTTTTTTAATTTTATTTTATTATGTTAATCACCATACATTACATCATTAGTTTTAGATGTAGTGTTCCATGATTCATTGTTTACATATAACACCCAGTGCTCCATGCAGTACGTGCCCTCTTTAATACCCATCACCAG